AAAAACCTGTTACACAAACAGGACTTTCTACAGCTTAGAGAAGCGAAGTATTTATCTAGACTAAATTTTCAAAACTTTCTTTTTATTTCCAACTTGACAGTATCATAAAGTTGCTCTATAGAAAGTGTAAATAATGCATAAAAGCGGCAAATGCCTCTAGTTGGGAGACTTTAATTTGGTCCATCTAATTTCCATTCCAAAGAGAACAGCCGTATTGTCTATTCATTAATAATCAAAGAACTTCCCAAGTGGACATAAAACCACCCCCCCCAAATAGCTAGATGAAGAAAAATCTTTCTTCATTAGGGGTGCAATCCTATCTACTATTTCTGCATGCAGGTACAGGGAGAAAAGAAACCTTGCCACAGTGATGCTTTCATGCAGTTATGAGCTCTGGGACATGCTCCTTTAGAAGCACTGATAAAAGTGTATTGTCTTGATTCTTTTATGATGTTAAAATATACTAAATTTTGGTATCTCTTGTTTATTTCCAGCTATGAGGCTTATCCCTGAGCTCTTGTGGGTATCACACGTTTAACTAAAACTTTTTCAATGGCTTGGTTTCATGTAGGTTGAAAGAATTCTAAAAGTCTGTCTCAATGAAAAAGCTAAAAACCCGGCGGCATTGAGCACATCAGATTTTTCTGGTTCATGCGTCAACACTTAATGTCAGTTTAACTATGCAGGCTTTTTCTTTAAACCTTAAATAACTAGAAAGGATGAGTCACGTCCATAGATGAAGTTAATCAAACAGTTTTTCCAAAGGCAGTTGTCTTACAGTAGCTTTGCTGTTAGCTAGAAACAGTGAGATTCATTGGAAGCAGCAGTTTTCAGGTTATTGGGTTTTGATTGGTTAAATCTTTGCTATCTAGAAAGTAATTGTGCCTAATTTCTCAATTAACAAAACACAGCAGAATTTCACATACGACAGTCAGAAGATGCTGAAATCGTATATAATGTCAACATAATTAATAATTCTTTCTAAAAAATAGTATCTGCTCATTTCCATAATTTCTCTCTCTGCAAAATTTTACTGAATTTTATCAATTCCAGGTGACTGAATATAACCATATTGCTCTACAGGTATTGAGAACACTGGGAACTGTAGACTTTTAGAAGCTATATGCCAATTTGAGTTTCTGAAAAATATAAGAGGAAGGAAAATAGTGTCTATAATACCACCCTTAAAATGTAAAAGTGTTTAATGCCAAGTATTTAAAGCTGGCTGTGTATCAATGTATTACAAACTGTAATGTATCATTCTTAGTGTGACTGGTTTGGAATATATCTTACTTAGGTGGTGCATTTCAGGAGTTTGTGCAGATGTTTTTGTGGGAAAAAATTGTTAGGTTTGCTTTAATTGACTTTAGTCCATCTTTGTGCTATCTCAAAAAGCATAGTGCCACTGTATTATTGATGGAATTGAATGGAGAGGAGATGTCCACTAGACCCATTTCCCATCTGATATAAAATGTAGTAACATACAACTGCTGGCTCCACTGGAATGAATTATTTCAGATTTAAGCCAACATATTATCTAATCTTAAAGACTAGCGCAGGCATCTGTTCAGAGTGTAACAGTATTTTGACAGAAGAGTATAGAAACATCAATGCTTCTAATCTGCAGGTGTGATATTACGTATTACGTACAACTTTCATTGGAGGCACCATGCCTTCCACTGTGCTGCTAACTCAGCAGCTCTCGTACAGGAGGACGTGCAGTTAACCTGTGGGCAAAACGCAAGTTGCTTCACATAAGTAGGCGGCCGGAGGCCACGTGAAACAGTGCTTTTCAGCTTTTTTTAATGTTACTATCATGGTGGTGAGTCACACAGAAGCAACCTAGAGGAGGAGGTTGCTAGGACGTAATCTGCAGCAGGAAAAGGTGAGCAGCAGCTGGGATATGGGAGACCAGAAAATCTGTGGTTGCTGAGTGAGCAGAGTGGGAATATGAACGGAGCGAGAAGCACGCAGCTGGTCACAGGCTTCCTGGAAGCTGTGGAGTGAGGCAGGTCAAGACACAAGACTTCTGTGTGTTACTGTACATCTGTGCATGTAGATGAACATGCATATGGAAACGGTGCAGGTTGCTGCACCGCTTGTGTATTGAAAGCATCACAATCTATGATTTGCTTTAAACACTGCATTAGAGCCATAACTGGTGGGAGCTCCTGAACTTCATGAGGAGCTCTGCTGGGTTGTACCATGTTACCTCTCACACTTGCAATGATTGTCCTAATTGCCTTGATATTTCAGCTACATGAGCTATTCTTGAATTTCCAGGATACTACTTCTCTGTAGTAAACTTACGATTTACCGAAGTTGGAGAAGTCAGGGGCGGGGAAGGGTTAGCTAGAGTATTGCCAACCAAGTTGTCATCTTTGATGTTTTATTTCTTGGACATGTTTCATGTTTTATTTCTAGGACACTTAGAATATCCATAATTTTGCAAAGTCTCCCTTTGTTGCCCCCATTTAAGATTTTTCTTCTTGTTAAATACAGATGAAGAGCAGAGAATGAACAAGGTCTCTCTGAGCCAGGAAAAGAAGTAAAGGATGAAGGTTTTCCTTCACTTGGATTAATTGCAATAGTTGTCATTTTTCCTCTTCCCCAACACTCCTTCCCCAGTACCTGTTTTGTCTCAGTCTCTTTGCATTAGTGGGAAATACCAAGTGATGAAATTGTACAGAAGGCGTTTTGTAAAGCAATGCTCATGCATTATACTTTTAAAATTAATTTTATTTTTAATTCATAGCAGACTGTTTTCAATGTAGCATAACCACAAATACTTTTAAAGAAAATGTGCTAGCTTGTTCTTCGTAACAGACATTAAGATTAGTTACTAGACTGAGATAGAGCAGAAGTTGTTAATGCTTGCCATGTTTAAAAAAAAAAAAAAAAGAAAAGCAGAAGCTATTTCACTTTGTTATTCAGCACTCCTGTTTCATTGGAGTGTACGCAGGCAGAGGTTCTGACTGGTCCAGTGATGCTGTCACCTAGGATCTGATCCTGCAAGGCACTAAGCAGTGCAGACCTCCCGTCGTTGTGGTAGAAGTAAGAGCAGTCAGCACGTTGTAGCGTTCAGACCTTTCAACAATCAAGAGTCCCACGAGGCAGAAGAAAATTTGATCTGGTATGGGAAGGGTTGGTTTCTCTTTTCACTTACAAAGGTATTCAGTTAATTAATTTTGGTATCTTTATGTGCAAAGGTAAAGCGGAGCCTTGCTCAGTAGCTCAACACTCACATTAATTTTAAATGAGAGAAGATTCAGCCGCCTTGGGTTTACCTGCTGGCTGTATGGGACAAAAAGTGTTACACATCCTGTTACGTATCTGACCCCAACATACAATACATATATCCATTAATGTGAGGGTCAACCGCTATTGCGTTACTCTGTAGCGCTGGCTTAGAATGGAGGGTTTAATTTGGTTTTGTTTAAAATTTAACTGTTCCCCCACTAACTGGGTTATATTCTTTTCTGAAACCAGTTCTTTCTGTAGAGGAATTTCACATTAAAGCTTTAAGATTAGAAAATTATGTGAACATTTTAAAATATTTAAAAACAGTAATAAAAAGGTCAGTTCTAAAATAAACACAACATTTGAAGCAGAATAATATTTTAATAAAATTAAATCTAGGTATTCACAAAGCATTATGCATATACAGTACATACTGTATTTAAAGCCTATGGACCTTAAATCATTTTATTCTAATGTAGTCAGCTTTGGACACAAGCTAAGCTTACTCCTTTTGTAATAAGAAAGTTTACAATTGTTCCTGAAAGTGATTTTACATATATACATATATATAGAGAGCTCTATATCTATACTCCTACATGTCAGCGTAGGTATATACACACATTTGTGTGTATGTGTGTATATAAATATATACACACATACGTACACACATATGTACATATAGAAAATGCACGCATGCACACATACAGGAATGCGTACATGGTGTATGTGTGTGTCCACATACATAAATACCCTATCTAGGATGTCTGCAGAGGGGCCAGTCAGTAAAAACACATAACTGGAAACATCCACCCTAATAATTATAAAATAAAAATGTGTCAAGTATTTTTAAATTAAACAGATTGTTAATAATTTGTACTGAACAAAAGCAACACAGTCTTCTGTATTATATAGAAATTAGATTTATTGCATCTGATTATGTTTGTGTGGCGGATGAAGAGTACCTACCTGCTCATGACAGCTAACTTCTATAATGCGATCTTACATTTTTTTTAAATAGTAGTGGAAACAAATACTTCCATTAATGCAGCTTCATGGATGCAACTTATGATGATACTGCCCAGCATATGGCAGACTTCTCCTGTCTGTTAAAATACTGCCCTACTTCAGCTGGAAGGAGGCTGGTTTCTCTGTCCTAATTGTTTCAAACCTAGAAAACCTGGTTACCTTATACTTTCTCTAGATTCAGAATCATTGTGATTTATTGTAAAATGCTCACTACAATAAAATCAGTTTTCAAAAGTGAGCTGGAAGAAGATTTTGCTTGAATTTTAGCTTGGTCAGGTAGGAGTGTTTTTCTATGTGTTTTATTGTTATTGGTCTCCTATTTGCTCTGAAGACATATCCACAAGAAGACATCTGAAGACATATCCTCTGAAGACATATCCATAAAATACTATTTCCATGACAGCAGTAAATGGTAATCTCCATGCGACGTAAACTGTTATTTCAGAACATGCATGTTATTTAAAAAAAAATAAAAATATAAGGTGCCTTGAGAATGCTGGCAGTTTTACATTTGGAACATACAGTTAGTGTGTGTGTATATATATATATTTACATCAGAACTGCTCAACTTTACCTTACAAGCTTCAGATTTAGGAAAATATACAGTACTTTTGCATATAATGGTATATTCCTTGTAGCCCCTGAGTCAAGTATAGAGGATTTAAATACAAAAAAAAGGAAAATCAGCCATTAAAAGCACTTACATTTTTATGTGAAATTATAGTATAAAAGTATTATTTCCCAGGAAGACCAGGATCAGAAACATGCCTATGAAGACTCAAGATTCCTACAGTGCTTAGTGAAGATTCTGGCAAGGAGGGGTGCCTGATTGGTGGGAGATGATAAGTTTTACAAGGCTGTGGGGGATGCTCTACAGACTGGTCACGTTCTTGATCTAAAAAAGAAGCCAGGTTGTCTTCCGAGGCTGTGTTAAGTTGCACTCCGCTTGAGAGGGATTCTTTGGATTTAAGTTTCGATTTTTCAAGGTTTAGAAGTTCAGGACACTGGAAGGGAGGAGAACAAACAAGATGGTAATAATTAAATTGGTCTCTTCCAGGCTCTTGTTCTGCTCAAAATTAGCACATTCAGATGGCTGCTGGAAACCCATTTTTGAAAATGAAGTAGTGTACTGGTATTTTTTTACATGTTACTGCGTTTGAGTTAATGTAATTGAATGCAATTCTGTTAATTAATTGGAGAAGCCTGGGTGTCTTGTCCCCTTCTCAGACCTGCCCGTCTGACAGAAAGATGCACATATGAACAGCCCTTTCTGAAGGACTGACTATTCCTGAGACCCGATCTAATAGTAAGGATTTCAACATTCTTAAATTTCCAGTTTTGTTTCAGAACATAACTCTGGAATTGTATCATTCTGAACACTAGGACCCTTTGGATTCCAGTCTCAGCACTCAGTTGTTCTTCACTTTTAAACTCAGAATTTGTGTGATGTGTGCAATGCGCCTGCTGACGTTGGCAGAGGGTGGCCGTACTTTTGGTCAGAGATAAATGTGAATGTTTTGTGAAGGTGTAGGCACAGTAAGTTTACACTTCTGAAAAGTACTGCTGTACATTGGCTGCCCTGATAATCTCTACGCACGTGAACTGATGCCTTCTGGATGTGTTGTACTTACTGTGCCCATACGTGTTCCAGCATATGCACGAGGAATCTGACACAGCCAAGCACGCTGGATTTACTAATTGTGTGCTACATGACTGATTTGGGATTCCTAGACCTGCAGCAGCCTGTTCGGAAATAATATGCCCGAGCTGTTAAACTCCAGAAATCCCAAACAAATCTGGAAAATCATTGAATTTTCCTTGAACAGAACTGCTGTGGAAAACACGTATTGGGAAACGCAGGTATATCACAGTTCTGTATAGTCATAGTTCCAGCAGTAGCCAGGGATGGGACATAAAACTGGTTTTAGGCCCTCCCACTTCTATATGTGTATAAACATCACTGTGTCAGCTGGAACTGTCTGGCTTGTACCTTGAGGAAAACACAGTCATTGTGCTTCTCAAGACCTCACGAATAGGACCTATGCCAGATGCACCCATGCAGGCAGGCCTGATGCTTGTAAAGTATTTGTGATTTATAGCCATGTCTAACTTTTTGAAGAGCATGATAATAAAGTAAATCGGTCTGATTGTAAGATCATCGTATGGATCTCTACAATCCTCACAGCAAATGTGGCCTCTGAGACTGTGGTGTCTAAGTCCACTGAGGATCTACTAGGACAAAATAATAATTTAATATACTTTACACTAGTGAACACCAGCTAGATGGGTATGCATCTCTTCCATGATAAGCTAAAAAGATTAGCAACCCTCTTTTGATCTTATTGGACCTGTACATACCTGAGATGAAGGACTGAAACTTCTGTCTGTTTTAATCGATGCTGCAGGCTGAAGCTTTTGCATCACCTGGATCGCTGGCTGTTGATACTCCGCCCCTGCAGTCACCATGCTGTAGGCAGGTGGAATGAGCGTTGACTGCCTTTGTAGAAGTTGCAGGATGGTTTGGATGTCAGCAGTCATTTGGGATTCAAGCCTAGAGGAGTAACAAAAATCTGTTAATTCACGACCAGGAGTAGGTATATTTTAACACAATGATTACAGCTGCATTCAGGATGCACCTGCAGCTTGTTAGTTAAGCTCACTATTGCTTGTTATGACATGACCATGTCTTAAACAGGAAAGAACAGAAGAGGGAGTGCTGAGCCCTTCCAAAACTTGCTGGCTCTCTCTTTCCTTTGCAGAACACGTGTGCATGCCTGTCTCTGGTATTTTTTTTTGCCACATTACTGACGAGTTTATTACTGTCCTTTATATTTGCAACAAAAAATTAGACGGGGGACCAGGTCGTTGAAATTAACAGGAATAAATGTACTCTCTTCATTGTAACTAAAATGATTTGTATCGGCTGAGGATGGGACACTATTCTGGTGCATCTGACAATTAATTCTGACATTCACAATGATAATAAAATGCACTGAAATAAGCAGAAAACTGCATTTGTGTTTTTACACAGTTAGAAAATGAAAGATGCTTTTGAGATCATTAAAAAAACCCAACACCCCAAGTTTCCTTCCTGTGAAAATTTATCCAGACTTATTCAGACCTCAGAATTACTGTCAGCATTTCTAAAGTTCAAATTTAGTAGGTTTTCTTCTATTTCTTTCCCTTGTCATAAATTTGTATAAGACTTCTGAAACACTTGAACTGCTTATGTTGTCCGTACTTACAGTGCCACAGGCACTGAGATGATTTTCAAATGGTCTTGCCAAGATGCGTGATAAATTCGGCAACAGGTAACGCCTATTGTGCCTCCGCAGCTGCTGGAAGGTTACAGAGCATGCTCTGACAGGTTGTAAGAGAGATGTACAGCCTTCGGTACTGCAACTCATCTTCTGGCAGAGTAAACAAATCCTTGTCGGCAGCCTTTAATGTTGTGAGTGTTAATATTTGGGCTCCCTACAGTAGCAGAAGTGATCCGGTGCTGACAGATTTTTGCTTTCACCAGGTGCTTCACAGATATTAACGTTTTATCACGTTGGAGTTGTCCATTACCTGTGTCATTTATTTATAAAAGTGTCTATAAAATTAATCCAAAAGGTATGCCCAGAGGTTATTTAGCATGCTGTTTCTTCCTTTATTGGGAGAAGTTGCTTTTGTGGCATCAGCTCTCGTAAAGAAAAGCCCAAACCTGGGCATTAGAGTCACTAGTGTTCAGCTCCCCCGGGTTCTTCACGATGATCTCACACAGGGAGGATGCAGATGCCGCAGGGGAAAACACTGCAGCACCAGCAGCTGCAGCCGCAGCAGCAGCGTGCCACCATCCAGAGAGCTTCCGTCTGCTAAACGTGGGCCTTAACGTCTCAATGAATAAAAGGGATTTAGAATTGGAGGGCTTGCATCAATGATTTCTTTGGCTTTGAATTAAAATTGCTCCCTTCTTACTTTATCAGCACTTCATGGGAGTTTCCTGGTACTTCAAGTGAAAGAATACTTCCAGTAGTATTTACTCATCATCATTGCATATATAACTTCTCCCTCCTTTCTCCAAAATTTGAAACAAGCCCATGTCATTCCACCCAAGGATAAATAAGCAGGAGAACCTTAGATACTTGGCCGATGGTCTCCATGAAATTCCAATTGCTTAAAGAGGAGAGAGATAGCTCTATGTACATATTCCTTGTACAGTCGCTTTCCAGCCTTCTATATCCATATAATAATTTGAGTGTTACGCCAAGCTTCTAACTTGGCATAGGAAAGTTCAGGAAGAAGTGACCATGCTTTTTAGTCCAGCGGGTCAGATCAGACATAAGCAGGAAACAATATTGCTTGTTATATTTGTAGAAGACCCAGCAAAGCCCCAAAATGGTGAAAGTGTGAAAAGATTTAAAAAAAATGAGAAGAATTAAAGAATAAAATGATTTGATAAAATCCATAAAAATTAAAATCTTAGTTTATCGGCAACATTGATAAGTGATAAAACAATAAAAGGGATTTTCCCACTCAAGAAAATACTGAGAACTTGCGTAAGAATTTGACAAAACTGTGGGTAAGTTTGAGATATAACTTCAGTTTCAAGAGGTTAAGATTTCAGGAAAAGAAATGTAACTGAAAGACCGCACCGTTTATAGGGACATGCAGCTGTTTAGTTATGTAACAGTTAGATTACTGGACTCCAGTGCAATTAGAAATTACATCAGTTTAGGCTTATATGTTAAAAAAATGTCTTTTAAATGGACTATATAGCATTCAGAAATGAAAAATACTATGGTTTGATTGGTTTATGGTAGATGAAGGAAGCAATATGTAGTTAACCTGGCTTTAAACTAATTGCTAAAATGCCCAGCACAGAATGTCAATGAAGAGCTACTAATGTATGATTAGGGTTGAGTGCGTGACATAGTATTTGTCATGGAAAAATATTGAAAGTAATGGAATTGCAAAGTAAAAATAATAAAAAAGCCACAGACCTGAGCATAGGGCAATTTAAAATTAGGTGAAATTACATGGTAAATTATAGTGTAGAATGGATCAAAATTCTGTAACCGTATTTTTAAGATGCTATAAGCTATGCTGCTTGGCTGCCAGCAAAGAGTATTATATCTGAGAGCAGAAGAGGGGTGGGAGAGGAATTTTATTACACAAAGGTAATACTGGATTCTGACAAAGAAAGCCTCTGTTTTCTGTTGTAACAGCTATAAGTTTTTGCCTTTGCATCCTCCCATGACTTACTTATTATAGAGACAATTGCAAAATAAATTACTTCAGATACTGAAGATATGGAAAATTGCCATTTTGTGGACATGTAAGTATCTAGGAACAGCATTCTTGGTGAGGTAAGATTTAAATGTAAAAACTTTAGGTGTCTCAGTACAGCTTATTGGTTAAAAAGCTGGTCTTAAACAGTCAGCTGAGAAGAAAGGCTCTTCTGCAAGGCAATTCCGAGTAGTTAATGTGGGTATCTAGAGGTGAGTGACATGAATATTCTGGCAATGAATTAAAAATATTGTACTCAGCATTCCCAGAATAGGCATTTCCAAGAATTTGGGAGGCTGAACTTAGAAGATGTTTAGGGGGCTGGTTAGCTCAGTGGTTTGAGCACAGTGCTGACAACAATGACAACACCGAGGTCGCGGTTTCGATTCCCGCTTGGCCCCATGTGTTGCCTGGTCTAGTCGAGAGGTGGCGTCGCTGCCCATGACAGGGAGGTTGGACTAGATGATCTCTAAGGTCCCTTCCAGCCTAGGCCAGTCTACGATGATGATGAACTAAGAATATGCATAGACAACCAAGGTAAAATTCCTGTGCAAATTTATTCCTCCTGTAGTGTCATTAATATCAGTGGTATTATTTACTCATTTGCATATGTGTTTTTTCTGGTCATATTTTGGGTTTTACCTGTTGAGTTGTTCTTGAAGTAAATCCAAACGATTCTCCACTTCCCCGTATATAAAATCACTTTCAGTTTCACAGATGCCCCATGTAACATTGGGCAATGCTGACTGAGTCGGGGAGTCCTGGTACTCCTGGATGTTCTCCTGCTCCCAGTTTCTTTTATCACCGATATCTGATAAAAAACAAAACATATAAAAGTATAGATTTATATACATGCTGTTAGAGGGATCTTGGCACTCCTCAATCATCCCACTCAGTTGCATTTCTCAAAACCTTGAAAGTCAAATTGGTATATTGGCACACTGCTTGAACAACTCTGTTTCTACTATTTGAGGAAAGATAAACGTGGTCACTTCTGTGCTAACATTTTGAAGCTGTAGATAAATAAGCAGCTGTATCTAGTCAGCATCATCAGAGTCCTGCTGCTGGATGGCTCCTATTTCTTTAGTTTTCTTTCTATTATTTTACCAATGAATCCCTGATTTTCTCAAGGTGTTTTTTTTTAGCAATTGGTTATTCATTGGAATTAGAAATATTTGTTCTAACTTAAATGCATTAAATGATGTACTTGAATGCCTCTGACTGCGTGTTTCAGACACCTGCCCAAAACCTCTTCTCTTGCCCTTGAATGTGCTGTTGAAGTGTATTTACTGTTTAGCTTTTTGGTGTAACAGGAGGAAATGCTGCATTGCCTTTAACGCACTGGGCATGCATTATTACAGTGTGTTCGAATGCCCTCTCTGGAGAAGGTTCCCTGACCTCAGCTACTTGTCTTTCTTACCGATAACTAACACTGCTTTTCTTAACAAGGCAGGTGAAATGTACTGTGCTTTCTCTGAGACAGAGGCCATTTAATGCAGCTCATACTGCTTGCAAAAGGATACTAATTATTTTCAGAAAGGAAATTGACTTTCATTGATGCAATTTTAGCATCACTAGTTTCCAACTCAACCCTTACATCATTGTGTAAAGCATGTCTCAGGGATCGTCACAGTACTGTGGGGTGAAAGGTGTCAGTTGATATTTTTTTAATAATTTGTAAATTTTAAAACAATGAAATATTCAGCATTGATGGGTCTCTCAGAGATCACTTGAGTGTTAAATGAAGATTTATGGGAAATATTTTTCTTTTTTAGGTAAAATTTTGGATTAACACAAAATAAATTTATTTCAAGAAAAAAAGCACCTATTATAAGGAACTTACTGCGGAGTTTCAGCTACCTTGCTTGATGTAGTTACCCTTCTAAAGCTTATATATCATAATACAATATATAAAGTACTTACTCTTTCAATGAGTCGTTTATATTTATTTCTTCATCTCCAGCCCTTTGAAAAAAATAGTCATTGCTCCAGGTGTCACGCTGTACCTGCTGTGCCCAAATTCCATCTGTCTCTTCCCTGACAGTTCTTGGATCTCTGTGGTGAACACTACACCTTACCACCCAAACAGAACTCAAGTTTCTGATCTGAGCTCTTCTTTCTCTTTCTGTTTGCTTAATTTACACCTCTGCGTACTTATGAATTAATTCACATTCTTGGCTCTAGGCTGTTTTTCCTGTTCACCAAGCTGGTGAAAGGTTACAAATCATTTACCATGGGATATACTAGTTGCATATATCCTTATATGCATATATCAGATATATCTATATCTCCATATAGCAGATACAGAATGAAGATCTTGCCCTGAGCTTTGCAGAGCCTACAGGTGACATTCTTTGGAATTTACACCCCTGTGGATTTATTAATTGGCTTACATTCTTGACTCTAGGCTGTTTCTCCTGTTCACCAAGCTGGGAAAAGGTTACAAACTATTTATCATGGGATATACTAGTTGTGCATACCTTATCAGATCTAGCATGAAGATCTTACTCCGAGCTTTGCAGAGATTATACTTTGGTTAAACAGTGCTTTTTCTACATCTGCCCCTCCCGCCCAAGCCTTTGTTACTTTGACTGAATCTGTCATCAAAAATTGCCCAGCACCACTCAGATCTTCCTCTAATGTGATAAAAAAGGCTGTTAAAACTTTAACACCTGCTCAGTACAACTCCTATTAGGGTTTTATTTTTAATTATTTAACTACACAAAGTTCCACGTGTATTAAACGTTCTTACTGTGCTCAGGCTGCTGCTTCAACATAGAGCCGGACAAAATCCTTTACTGCCTATAAGGTGTCAGTCTCCGTTGTATGAGCAGTTGGATTTGAATCCCACCTCACTCAGTAGTCCCTGAATGGTTTGCTCAGAGCTTCTCCTAACACTTCTCTTGGCACTGCCTGCTGCTAACTCAGCATAGGTTAAATTCTTTTCACACATGAGAATTTTTTTTTCTAAGCAACCATAGCAGCCAGAGCCACGTTTCAAAGAAAGAAGAAAACACAGTGTGGGTGACATGTGAGAGGTTTGTCCAAATGCTATTAGCTAATCCTTTTCAAACACATCTTTGAGCGGTGTTGCTCTAAGTAAAGGAATAAAATAAAATAAATCCTGCTCAGATTTAGTATTTTAAGTAGATTTAGCCAGGAAGGGGAGCTCTCACTACATGACTCCTAGTGGAAGAGGAGACTTCTCTTTTTTTTTTATCAGAGAAGTGCTTACTGCATTATCTGATCTTTGGTGAGCAGGTGGTAGAAGGTTTCCTGGAGCTGTAGAGAGTGTTTGAATTTCATGTGACATGACCTATAACTGATTTTAGGCACTGGGCAGAGGAAGGGCAAAGAGTTTTCATCTTGGTTGCATGGAAACTGTTCAGCTTCTCAGCCACTTAAGCCAACAGAAAGAAAGAGGCAAACGGTGTCACAGAAGCATGTAATTTGGTTTTAGCAGGCACACATGGCACAATTTGTAGTGCCCAAAGATGATGGAAAGCTCTCAGCAAAGTGAAGAGAGCAGACTATGACAAATTCATAGGAAAAAAATTAAACTGTGGGTGTGGGTGCAATGGATGTTGTAAATCCGGTGGACTGACTTCTGAGCAGTGAGTTTCAAGAGTAAAAACTAAAAATATAGGCCATACATTTCCATGGATGTTGTAAATCCGGTGGACTGACTTCTAAGCAGTGAGTTTCAAGAGTAAAATCTGAAAATATAGGCCATACATTTCACTCTTTCTGTATGTCTTGTAAAACCACATTGTTGACTATTTTACACAATAAATCATTCAATAAAATCATGTATTTTTCAATGCCCTGGATTATTCCAGGGAAATCACAACTATTTTTTGTCCCAGAACGTGTGTTTGTAGACTATTACAGTAAACATTTAATTTGTGACAAAGCAAATGAATTGGCACACAAATCAAAAAAATAAGTTCATACACTATAAGCAAGTTAATACACACTAAGATTCGGTATTGTACTGTATTAAGCACCTTTTCCAGTACTTCCACATACACAAGTAACCTCAGAAAAGCCCCCCAAATGGTTACAACTGTATAATCTTCCAGGGCTTGAGGAATATTACAGCCCAAATAACGATCAAGTGAAGATAGTGGTTTCCTGCAACACACAGATAACCAGTTACAGAAAAATTATCAGCTCTTCTCAAAAGAGCCATATGTTTTAATGTTCTAAGTTCCATTTTGGGATTATGAGAGAGAAGTTTGTCCAGTTTCTGCCCACATTATACAATACATTATTAATAGTCTTTCCATTCATTGACAGTAATGACTAAAGCTTAAAATGAAAAAGATAATGAAATACAAATCAGTTACAGCAGTAATAAATTGCAGTGGCTTTTTACCAGTGCATTTGTTTTCAAGATTTATAAGGTCCCATACTATATAAGGACTATAAACATACACACATAAAAGCAGAGTTTATTTCAAAATTTTGTTATGTTTATAACTACTTATATTAGTAACACGAGTAAGATTTTTGCTTAAAAAATATATCAATCAAAGCTGATCTTCTTTTACTGACTTTGAAGTGTTTATGAAAGTTGCTAGAAAGGTAATGAGCTTTCACACACATTACTGGATGTGCTAGATTACAAAGCGGAAAAAAAGAATGTGGTCTTAATCAAAATATGTAACCTTTAGACACTCTAAATTTAGCTCAAATAAAATCTGCAATAGGTTGCCTTGGAAAACGTTGCTATAGCTGCAAGGACACATTTCTGGCTATTGGTAGGGGAAAGGTAAGTTTTCAAATTGCAGTATGTATGCAACAGGTTTATGTGACGCAGATTTATATAGCCTTAACCAGAGGAGACCAGACTTCAGATATTCATACCTTTGAGATGTAAAAAATACATTGTTTGAGATGATTAATCATTAGTTCATTTAAAATTGTAGCCTAAAATCGAAAGCTTATTGAATGATGGTTAAATGATTAAATTGTCTCAATGGAAATAAACTGCTGGGGAAAACAGCATCAAAGAGAAAATATGTAATTCTTCACTGCAGACTGAAAAAATTACAACTGAACTTCCAGCAATATTTAAATTGTATATTAATGCAGGACTTTTCATTAATTCCCCTTCATATCACTGAGAAAATTAATATTTTAGTATATTAGATGTAATTTTAATTATGTGACTTAACACCATGTAAAAGTAACTGAGATTGCTTAATAGTTTCTGATCATTTGTCATATACAAACCCTCGAATCTTTGTTCATGTGTTTTGCTTTCAGTAGTTGGGATTTGTTCTGTGTGATGTAATGACACTCTTTTTACCAACATGTGCAGCAAAACAGGATAACATTCTTTCAGGCTATTAGGAATTTTTTTCACTTCATTTTCATTGTGCCTTGTCAATACAGAGGATGATACTAGTTACCTGCAAACATTTTTTGTGCTTGTGCAAACATTTTTTGTGCTTGTACAAACATCACTAGGTTTATCTCGCTCTCATTATCTGGGATGTTTTACTGTCACCCAAACCTGTCACATCCCACAACTTTGCAGAGATTATTTATAGCTTTGAGTGCAATTTTCATCCAGTGAAGTCCAGTATCAGCTGACAATTTTAAAAAGTTTGTTTAAACGAATTTCCTAAGGCAGTTCAGTTACAAGATGATTTATTAATAAAGCCTGAAATAGCCTTTCGGAAGTTCTGTAATCCAGTCCCACAGCCAGTGTATTGAACTACATTAACCCTCTTGAGAAATAATTTTTGATCTGAAATATCTTTTCTTGCTAAGCTTTCAGGAAACACAAAAGTAAATATTATGTAAAGAATCAATAGAACAATTCAGAAAATGATTTTTGATAGTCAGACTAAAAAATACATCTACTCAAACTCTACAAAATAGGAACAGCTGGATTACCTTTGCAAGAATTGCTTCTTTTGTCAGTAAGAACTTCTTCTGTGGCATGAACCATTTCTTCAAAGTCCACCTCTGTGGTTTTCTCTGTTACAGATGGGTAATCGGCTATCCCAGAGAACAGGGGCTTTTGCTCATCTTCAATGGAGGACACAAAAGATGATGACCCACTCTTTTTCTCCTCACACTGTTTCTTGATAGATTGATAGTATATGGTGGTGTCTCCAGAGGGTTCAGGATCACTCTGATCGTTCTCTTTGAAATAATCTGCTAAATACAAATAATTGTGTACAATAACAAGAAGTTCATGAAATTATGCTGTAGTGCATTCTGACCTGAGGATGGAAATGATTGTTATATTATTTAGGAAGTTCACTGTCTATTAAATAAATAACTTTAAAGACTTTTTTGATTCCTATATCAGAAGAGATTTATATTTCTTCTGAAGTCCTAGAAGACATTTGCATGTATGTAGTAAGGATTCATAGTCTCTAATACACAGCTCATTATGCAAAAAGTTGCTTTTATCAAAACAGCAAAGGTTTTATCCAACACAGCCTTCATGTTTACTTGCTGTTTTTTTCTGGGTGAGGATGAGATTTGAGAAAGGCTTATATTCCAGTACTTAAACAGATTATTTTATTATATCATTCCCTCTTGCAATTTCTCACATTTCTAGGCATTTCTCACAATCTTGAAACAATAACAGTCATGGATGTCATACTAAAAATCAGAATTACTCACTTAAGTTATGCCCACATGAGAGCATCTTTGCTGATTATTCTTTTCCCAGAAAAGGGAAATGTATTAATCAACCGCTCAACCTCAAAATGTCTGGGCCCACTTAAATAGAGAGCATATTTCTCCACAGTCTGTTGAACCTATGTTTAGGATTGATATGGTAGAGAGAAACCCTGTCGGTACAAAAAGAAGGGATTTCCTTGTCTGTCTTTGCAGGATCATCTCAAAAGTACTTTCCAAAGTATTCCTTAGCCTTAGAATTAACTGCAATACTCTGAACATCCAATCTATTGCATAAGAAAAATATGCCCCATGCTGTGACATATATGGTAGCAGAGTACCGATCAAGTTGAGAATGAATCTTTCATTAATCACACTGAAGGTCTGTAGTGAGGAAGAGCAGATTCAGTCCTCTTAAGAACAGGCAAGTAAAAGTAGAATCAAGGCAGATGCCTTAAAAAACACATTGTAAAAATTAAATAGGATTCAAACCCAAGAACAGTCATTTATAAATATAGAGAAGTCCTGATCTCTTTTCAGTATAAACTTGAAGCTAATTTCCACTTCAGTATTTGGTTTTACCTATTTTTAACTGAAATATCAAGATAATTCCAGTTCTGCTATTTATTTAAAACACATTTTTAGCAGGGTAGTCTCAACAACATATAAATACTGTAACTAGTTTGCATTAACTTCCCGGGGAGACAGCCCGATTTCCCATCTGCTTTGTGCTAATTACTAATCAACATAGCTCAGGAATGCTTTTTTTTTCTTTACTGCCTACAGCAGCAGTTAAGACAACTTTTAGTATATTCCCTAGGTTTCTTCTCTGTTTTCTGGTCACTACAAGGAAATGAAACTGAGACCGCATCTAATCCTCTTTATCTGCACATAAAAAGAATGTAGTATCTGTACAGAGCACTCTGCAGGAGTCCAGACATCTGTGAGCAGTGAGGGCAGGTAATGGTGAACAAAATAAAACCAATATTAAAGCAGGTCTGCTGTAAATGTACCCTCTAGAGTTTCCAAGGGCAATTAACAGAGCCCTGGCCTGAAGTGACTTTATTCTGCTTCTGTTAAGCAGGATGACTAGCTATAAGTGATGCTGATGATATTCTGACACTGCGAAGGCATCAACAGAGATGGAGGTGGAGTGGCAGGATAAAGCTCTTGGGGGATGCTCAGACTCAAAAGATAAGTGCCATGTTCTCTGCAATCCAGTCTCCAAAATGGTACAAAACCCAAACAAATCTTCATAAGAAAATTCTAATGTAGATGTCTCCCAGGCTTTCTTGCAGGAATATATGGTGAAATACGCACAGTTACACTACACTAAATTGTCTTAATTACTTACTGCTTGACTGACTTCAACCTGTGAAAAAGACCTTCTAATGAAAGCTTGAAATTGACATTTTTAGGGTAATTTTTTACATTGATGGGATTTTGTGCACTAATGCTAGCTATAATGAGCACCCTGTGCAATACAAATCAATCGGTGGACTAATTTTAAGAGGAGGTCATCGAGACTCTAATGAAAAAAATTGTATGGCAGTTGATGTGTAGCAGACTGTCTTATCTGTCGTACTCGTAGAATACTAAAATATCTAGAAACAAGAAGCCAGATTCTGCTAACAATTACACTGCTATAAACCCAGGATAATTCAATTTGTATATCTGCATTTAGTCTCCCTCTATATCAGAACAAGAGAACACATGCATTTCCAAATGCTGTCCAGGTATAATGAACTCACTGAAATTGGAAGGAAAGCGGGAATCTGTTGATTGTAGTATCCTGCCTATTGAAATCAGGGAAGATTTGTTTCTCAGCTAATCTATTTCAAAATATGCATCTTTGGCTTTACTGCCATTGCTTTATCTGCTAGCCATCTGGCTACATTCAGTGAGTCGGAAGTTGTTTTAGTTTTACAATGCTCTTATTTAATGTTAAATATTTTTCTGCCTGGAGAATAATCCTGTGATGCTCTGTACCTAGAGTGGGAGTTAAAATGGAAACTGCATTTTTGATTTGGCTCTTCAGGCCCTGGTGATGGTGCAAGCTCTGTACTGCAGTTCAGCAGCTTAGCAGTGACTCTGTAACTCAGTGGAAATATGTTACAAATAATATCTAAGTAGTGCTTTATTCAGAATGTGAATTCCTCCAGTTTTTCCTTCCTTTTGTAGTGAAATCCAGTCATTGGTTTGGAATGAACTTTCCAGAAGAGTTTTCTATCTGTGTATCTGTATGTATGGATAAGGTCACTTTCTATCGCACAGACTCCAGGTTTCAAAAGGTTTCTCTTCTCCTTTCTCTTCTGTTTCCAAAATAAACCTCATCGTTTAAAAAACCCCTTATCCTACTGCTTCCTCATTCCTTTTCCAGTAAGCCAAGTTTCACTCTCTGATTCTGATTGGTAGAAGTCACATTTTGCTGAAGATGTGCAAATATGTACAAACATCATTTACAGTCTTTGTTGGACGTTTTTTAGCCTGTTATGCATTTTGGATACTTGCCAAGTTTACAGGCAATGTCCTCTGACATTTGTTGTCTTTAAATTCCAAGATCTTCACAGTAATTATCAGAAGATTTGTGTCCTGCTTTTTTTTGCACTTGCACTGGCAAAGGAAGGGGAGAAACGAGGTTGTCACGAGGGCAATGGAATATAGCTGTGACAGACAGAAATATTGGCACAACATCCAGCTTGGTGAGGCGGTTACCAGAGTAACAAGTTTCTTCTGTGTGCCATGGTCAGCCTGTAATATTGAAGTTTTACATTATTCAGACAGTGGCAGTCTGCACGATCTAGACATACTTTCTCTTAATTTATCTGTCTGCTTCAAATAGTATTGGTGAAAGTGTCAGTAATATATTACATGTGGAGGAGCATTGTTCAATATTACTGTAATTTCATTAACTAAAATTTGTCACACTTAATCAAGCTAGTAGCCTAGTGATTCAAAAGCTGGCAAATTTTCTGTCCCTTTTTCAACCATCCAGTAAGAAGTCCTATAATATGCCTAGACAAATTCAATTTTGTGCAGGAAATGAGGTGAGTGACTTCCTCACCCCCGCAGAAAGCAATTTATTTCCCAAACCATAAACCAGATAATCCTTATCATTAACATAATGTGCATAATTATAAATCTGTTCACCAGACACGACATCTTCCCTTTTCTTTGGAAAAAATTACCAAATTATTTAATGCTACACCAAGTACATCCCTTGGTAAGGAGATATTCACACTGTGACTTGGATGGAGGAATAGTCTGCAGATCTTCAGATTCCCAGCAAGTATTTTGTTTCAACTGCTATTAGCTCTTTCTTAGGTGATATTCACAAATACTCCTGTGGTGATCAGTCTGTCTATCCTACATATGAATAAAATATTTTCTAGTCATCATGAGTATTTGCTATCTGTTCTTCAACTTAAAGCTGTCAGTTACTTTGTCAGAGAGCAGAAAAATGCCTTATGTGCCCACCCATGCATCACGGGGAGGAAATATTTGGAATGAACACTCAGTGACAAAGCATTGTTAAATATAATGTCACAAACAGGGTTGTAAAAGTGCAAAATCTCAAAGGTGTCAAAAAATGGAAGCTGTTGTGCATAATTTGAACACTGATGTTCAAACTATGCCTATGTTTTCCACCTTATATATGAGGAGCAGCATAAAATAAATCAGGGAAAATGGTAAACCTAATTCCTGAAATCACTGCTATTGACTTGGTCCTGTAGGAACAATATAACGGGTACATAACATTTATGCAATATGTCAAAAATTACTGGTACTGTGGAACAGGACTCATATATAGTGAAGGGTGATTCCAGAGAAGTCTATTCAATAGAATGTCTATCTGGGAATTTAGGATTATCAAACTGCTAACTAAATGGCTTCTAATGATTTTTCCTTGCTGTTTGCTTCTTACTTAGTTGAATGTGACTGGTATGGAGCACATTGCTAAGTATAACTGAATGCTTTCTGATAGACTAGTTAATGGAAGGATATCAAAAAGGTGGAAGCCAACTGGTTGTAAAAATGAAAATGAAAAGCAACCCAGTGTCTGGTCATTCGTCAGGTAACTGTTGCTATGGCAAAGATATAGTTTTTTGCCGTGTGTTTTGTATGTCTAAGAATAAAAGAAAAAAGTTAAAGTAGTTTGGATTTCTTCAAGATACAATGAAATCAACAAACAAGTTGTCTGAGACTTTTTTTCCTGTTGCCATCCTTTCTTGACTTGGATCTTTCGGATGGGATGTCTTAAGCCAATCTACAGTTAATATATTTACTTGAAAATTACATTCGTTCAGAAGCTTCCAATAACAGATGAGAATTGATTTTTAATTCACAAGTTCTATTCACTCCTTATTGCTCAATTTTAGGGAATTACAAATCTTCAGAGAGAAAACTGTACTGATTTGCAAACAAGTGTTATGGGAAACAGTTTGAAGAACTTTAGTGGATTTATTTTCCAGTAGGAGAAGGATGCGTTCCCCACAATCTTTACAAATGCCAGGGAAGAAGAGGAG